CTTGGCCAATTCATCGGCAATCCTCGACTTTCCATCGACCAATTGCACTTAATTACACAGAAAACTCTAAATAGAGGCTGAACAACTAATAAATGCTCGGGACTTGCCGGAAAAAAATATCAACTTAACTCGTATAAACCGTACTCAAAATATATGAACTTAGGTGCGGTTTTTAATCAAAATTTCCGACAATTATCCGAACACTTCACCCTGAATTAACCTAACTAACAAGGTTATGAGCTGAGGAGAAGTCTACCTTCCTGTACGCTCGACGGTATCGGAGATTGGCGGACTAATTGCTCCTTGAACTCGCCGTGCGATTGGCCTACGGTTTGCCGTGCGATTGTGAAGCGAATTTAGGGAAGATTTGCTGAGGTTTACTGAAGAATACGCTGCTGATCAAAAGGGCTAGTTATTTGGAAGAGGTGCTCAGTTTCTTAAGGAAAATGGCAAAATTTTCCCTAAGTGTACACTTATATAGATGTACGGCGTGAGGGTGGTTATGGTAGCTTGATGACGAGGGGCAACGTGGCCATCCCTTCAATTAACACTTGCTAAACCCTCCATTAAGCTCATGATGAGTAAGCTAGCTCTATTCATGACAAGTTACACTTTTTGATTGGTTAGGAAGCCTTACTTCATGCTTAAGAAAGTCTCGGTTTTGACTTAAGAAATTTGGGAACATTTGCCCCTTAAGCTCACGGCAATTAGGGCTAAATTAGGGCTCAAATATGATTAATCCCAATTAATCACTTAATTGATGTTTAATTGTTAAATTAAACATACTACTTAATTACCAAAATTATTTCGGACGTAAACGGTACGCCGAAAATCGATTTCGGTAATCCGACTGAACTTAATTAATTCCGAAAATAATAAACGATAACATTACTATATCGGAATTAAACGCAATTTATACTAATAATATCTCGGGATATTACAATCCTCCCTCCTTACAAAATTTCCGTCCTCGGAAATTCAAAACGTAACTGAATACATGACTACAATATAGAAACTATGTACATAAGATAACATAATATGTACATCAGAACTGGAAATTTGGAAAACGAGCGCGAATGTCCGACTCTTCCTCCCAGGTAGCTCCGTGGCGATCCCACTGAATGCGCACGAGGGGAATATCTCGCTTCTGGAGCCGACGGACCTGACGATCGAGTACAGCTACCGGTCGCTCCTCGTACGACAAGTCTGGCTGAACCTGAATATCCGTGTGAGGGATAATATGTTCTGGGTCGCACACGTACTTACGCAACATAGATGCGTGGAATACATTGTGAATGCCTGATAACTCGGGAGGTAGGGCTAGACGATACGCAACCTC